TGTATTTTTAACCTGTATTTTCAATTGGTTCCCCACCCCCCATTATGTTTTATTGCAATTTTACTGGTGTTAGCCGCCCTGAGCCCGGCTCTGGCTGGGGAGGGTGCGGTATAAGTAAAAATTTGTTGTTGTTGTTGTTCAGTGCTCGCCCCACAGCGAAGGGTGGAATTGAAACTGAAGAAGAAAGTTGAGTCCCTGAGCACCCAATAGATTAAGTCAAACTGTGACTTGTTAAGATTCCAGGCCAAGATGAGCTAAAGAAACTCAAAACAACAAAATCTGAAGTGTTCTGGAGCCCTGCTAGTGAGGTGAGCCTACAAGTGATAGACCACTTTTCTGAAGGCAGATTAGAAGTCTAGCTGTTCATGTTTCTGGAGGCTGAGCGAGAGGAAGATATGTTTCAATGTTTCCCTGAAGGGTTTACAATGTCTATCAGCTTGGCAAATAAATGTACCTTTGTGATTTGCATGTGTTACAGTGACTTTCAGTTTGAAAATTAAGTTACATTTGAGATTCTGTTCCAAACATAGTTGCAAATATCTATTACTGGGTTACAGGGTAGCTTCAGGCAGAAGAGGGATCTTTCTCAGTTGCAAAAGTTCACAAGGGGGGGGGGCGGGAGAACTTCCTATTTGTTTTGTCATCTTTTTTCCTTTTAAAAAAGGTGTGTTTCCATTTATTGCATAGGAGAACCAGTGATAGAGCTTATCTGGCATAAATCAATACCTTCCTCTTTCAACTGGGCAGCCCACAGCGTTGACAGACAAGCCAAGTTAGCTTGTTAGCGCTGTCCAATGACCGGGATGCTGTAACGCTGGTGGCCTGTGGAGGCGCTGTCTGTAATGTAAATTAATGGCTTGGGATTTCATAGGAATAATACTCCAGGTTGTATAAAATGGGGTTCATGAGTGAATGGTGGAATTTATAGAAATGGCTATCTATTTCTGTGAATGAGATGTATTTATCTACATGCATCCCAATATGTGCATGCAGTATAGTGATTTTGTACAACAATAGCGACCCTACTCTACCAAACCAGCCATGCTACTATCCAAATACTCTCTCCATGTCCACATCCAACTCTCGCTCCAAGTGCAACTCAACTCCAAACTCAGGTGACTCTCTAAACTTCTCCCATCTGCTTTCACAAACTCCTTTGCAAACTCCGAGCCAATCACCACTCACTTCCAACATTCCAAGCACACTCCCTCCCCTCCCCAACCCAACACATACCTTAATTCATATATTATACTGACCTACACATTTACCAAATATAAATTTCCCATAATTAATCTAATATTATTACATACATATGCAATATTATTTACATAAACACCAGAAAATCAAGAGGTGCCCTTGGATTAAATAAGAACTTAACACAATAAATGCACTTATTGGATATGTTGATGTTACCAGATTTTTTCCAGTGAGTCCAGGGACACTTTTCAACTTCCTATTAAATAGATGGATTTTGTAAGGGGACTGATTTGTATATCTGGGGACTGTCCCCAGGAAATGAGGACGTCTGGTAACCTTAGTATATGTACAAAAATATTGTAAACAAGTAGAAACATTGGCAGGCTAAGACTAAACCAGGGGTCAGCAATCCTTTTCAGCCGTGGGTCAGTCCACCATCCCTCAGACCATGTGGTGAGCCGGACTATATTTTTGGGGGGAAATGAACGAATTCCTATGCCCCACAAATAATCCAGAGATGCGTTTTAAATAAAAGGACACATTCTACTCATGTAAAAACACGCTGATTCCCGCACCATCCATGAGTCGGATTGAGAAGGCAATTGGGTCACCGGGCCTTAGGTTGCCTACCGCTGGTAAACACTTGCAAATAGTTAAAATAAGGTAAAGTTTACGGAAGGAAATTTGAACTGAAACAATGAAAACCGATGGTATGTAATTCAGATAAAATAACAAGCATAAGAAAAAAGAGGTTTAAGTATAATTATGCAGAATATATATATATTCAGTGAACTAGGAAAGGAAATGGAGGGAAGTCAGGAGGTTAAAGAGAACCTCTGAAAAGATATTTTTTTTTTAAAAAAATATTTCTTATATTTTTTATTTTAGTTCTTATATTCCATGTTGGATATTTTGTATTTCTCTTTTTTTCTCTTTTTTCTTTTGGATCAAAAATAATTGTTGAATTTGAAATTGTAAAACCAATGAAAATTTATTTTCAAAAAATTAAAAAATAAGAACTGAAAGGGATGCACTACATCATAATCTCATACGAACATGTGGTTTTATCTAAATTATTAATAAGAGAGGACTCCCAGAAGATCATACTTGAAAGTGATCTGCCCAGAATTATTCTGATGAGTTGTAAGGAAACACATTTTTTGAGTCAGAAGGAAGAGAAACATCTATGTGATTAATTCTGGATGTTGCAGAGATTTTAGTTTCACTTTATAGCAGGGGCAGGGTAAGCCATTGATGAAAACTCAGTTTCAATAGACGGGGAAATGGCACCTGAGGAATGGAGTCCCTGAAACTACAAGGAAAGACTGGCTAGAAAAGATGATGGGGCTGATACTGGCAGACAAGGTTGAGGCTGAGGGCTCGCCCTCACTTCTGCAATCCCACACCTAGAAAGCATGGGTTCAAGCAGTTTTCTGCATGTTTTGTGCTTTCTAGGCCTGCACTTCTCACCATAGACATATCTTCCTTGGCAGAGGCTGAGAGAAGCTTCTGCCCTTCACAAGTGAAATTATTTCCTAGCACTAAACCATATGTATATCCAAGACCTTCTGCAGATGAATGCAGGGCATGCCCACAGCTAGATTGCCTGCACATGACTTGGGCAATGTTCAGATTCAAGGCACCAGCACATATTCTCATCCCATCCCTGTTGTAGAACAGCTCAGCCCTCCCACAGCAGATATTTGGCCCATTCATCAATCTGCTCTCAGTTGGGTGTGAAATGTTTAAAGACGGATTTGTTCCTTCACCTCCCAGGTTTCTCCGCCTATCTTTTTATTGCCCCCGCTTAGAGGAGCTCATCCGAACAGACGGTATTGAACCGGTGGTTGGTTGGTCCTTGTGAAAGGCGTGAGGAAGCCATGCCTGGATCTCAGCACTTCTCCAACAACGTGAGATATTTGTCTGTTGCCCGTGCTTCTTACTAGGGGGGCATGGTTTGCATTTTGTTAAAATAACCTTGTACTAACCCAAAGATTCATTTGTATTTCCCATCCACAATTTCTAGAATGGATTAAAAAATGGGGGGCGGGGGTTACATCCCAAAATTCAGGACAGCAGAGGAATTTCTACCCCCTTTTTTCATTCTTCACAAGTTTTTGCCATTGCAGCAGCAAGTGTAGCAATTCTCCCAGGGCACGCCAGGGCGTCTGGAATGGCACTCCTTCCCCTCGTACACCTTCCACATGGTCACATACACCAGCTACACAAAAAACTGTTTATGACAAAAAATAAACCTTGTCCCCGGCCTTTGCCAATTAAACTTGGAATACATTGGTACCTCGGGTTACATCATTGGCAACAAGGTAAAATGTAAGATGGGATTGATAATAGATAAACTAAATTGGATATGAATTTGCTGAACCAATTTTTAAAAAGGGATACAAAAAAGGGAGGCGTGAGGAAGTCAGGAAAATAAGTTAACTAAAGATGAGTTAAAAAAGAGGGAGTTTTGTTTTTTCTTTATGTGTTTTTCTTTTTTCTTCTTTTTTCTTCTTTTTTGTGCTTAATGCTTGTATTTTTGTATTTTGACTTTGTATTTTTCTGTTTTTGTATTCTTTCTGAATTTTTTCACTGATAAAACTTAATAAAATATTAATTAAAAACAAACAAACTTGGGATACAGTGGTACCTCAGGTTACATACACTTCAGGTTACAGACTCCGCTAACCCAGAAATAGTACCTCGGGTTAAGGACTTTGCTTCAGGATAAGAACAGAAATTGTGCTGAAGCGGTGCGGCAGCAGCAGGAGGCCCCATTACCTAAAGTGGTACTTCAGGTTAAGAACAGTTTCAGGTTAAGAACGGACCTCCGGAGCGAATGAAGTACTTAACCCGAGGTACCACTGTATTTCATTTCATTTCCAGACTCAGGGCCGTCTTACCCATAGATGCTAGTGGTGTGGGGTGCCGGGGCACCAAGTTTTGGAGGGTTCCAGGTGAGAGTCCTGGGAACACTGAACGAGCGCGCTGAGTGAGCGAAGGTGCATGCACAGCTTCCGTGGAGCGTCGGCTCAGTTTTTCCCCTTTTAGCCTATAGGCACCAAATTCTGTGGAGTGCCAGAAAGCTAAAAGGGAAAAAACCCAGCCAACGCTCAGCCGCACACACCCTTGCTCGCTCAGGGCAGGCCCGCTCAATCGGTGTGCTCACTCACCCAACGGGTTGAGGCGCAGGCACACGCAGTGCCTCTCCTGTTAGCCAGGCTTCAGGGGCCACGGATCTCCACAGGGCTGGCTCCCCCGGCCCGCTCATCACCCTCACCCACCTCCACCATGCAGTGCTGCACCCAGAGCCTCCGCCTGCCATGGCCACCACAGCACGAAGTGACCAGCTGAGCTGGGAGGTGCCTCACCCAGCCTCCGCCTCTTCACTGCCAGAGGAGCCCCAGCCGTTGCCTGCCTCCTCCAGCCCCACAAAGCTGGGCATGGCACGGGCAGCGCCGTACCATCCCAAGAGGCTCCCTCCGCTGCTGCTGGTCTTCCCTCCCTAAAAAAAGGAGGCCAACAACTCTGGGAAATGGGGTGGGGGGTATGCTTAAGAAGGCCCTGTCCAATCTTTGTAAAAAAAAGCTCAAAAAAAGCACAGAAAACAGAAGCCTCCAGTATTCTCACCCCACCCCAGCCCCTTCCGAAAAGATTCCTTGGTGATATCACAGAATAGAAATTTGGCCTTCAGATGAACAAGAAATGAAACCAGTCTCTATGGGATTCCTGTGGCTTTGCTTGTCTCGGATGCCTCAAGGAAGGGTCTTGACTTGTGGAACTGAGTCGAGTCAGAGCTTCTCAGCCTTGCCTGCTGCACATGAACTCAGCCACGATCAGCACCAAGGAAAGCAGCACCAAGCCAGCAACTCCCAAGCGGATGTTGATCTCCATGGATGTAAAAGTGTTTGCTGCAGAGTGAGACAGAGAAGAGTTACTACTCAATTGTTGGTTGTGATGAAGGCAGGGTGGGGAGGGAGATGGTCTCAAGGCTGTGGCCCTCAGCATACTTAGCCCCATTGAGTTCAGTGGGACTTACTTCTGATTTCTAAGAACATAAGAACAGCCTGCTGGATCTACCTGCCAATGGAAGCAGCCTTCTAATCTACTCCACTTGCCTTTTACTTCTGACTAGAGCCAGAGATGATACAAAGCATACTAAGTCTGCAAGCAGTGGACCAACTCAAAGTTCCACTGTCACAGTTGCTCCCTGTTGCTAAGAAGATGGCAGGTACACATGTTGCGTTTCAGTTTTTTATGTCACTGCAGGAGCATCCAAAAGTGGTCAGTTTACGATTGGTTGTTTGCTGGGTGTTCCATTCAGAATTACTGGTCCATAATGTGGGCTTGGAATTTCATCCACCAATGGATTGGTTGGGTGGTTCTGGCTGAAGAGAGCAGAAGGTCGGGTTCAGCACTGCCTGGGGGTCAGCTGGGAGGCTCAGTAACTCGAGCCAAAGTCAGTTCTCATAAGAAAACCTGTTGTTTTTAAAAACTTTGTTAAAAGCAAAAACTTCACATGATTAGACAATTTAGGACTGCTCAGAAGCCAAGAAAATAAGAAAACTATCTCATCTAGCTGGCTGACACAAAACACGCAAACTGTAGCAGGCTGAGCAGGAAAGCAAAATTCAATCTACAGGCACTGATCATCCCTTCAGGATGAAAGCTCCCTCATACCAGCCCCAACCCAGATTTAAGAAATATCCGCAGATTTGTTGTTGAAGGTTGTAAATAAACAACAACTGGGTCTATATGTACAGATGTTACAGATGTACTAGATGATAAAGCAATGTTACCATGAAAAGGGGGAGGGTGTTAGTATTGTAATGTCTCATTCTCACATTGCATAATGTTGCGGGTTGCCTTTAATTACTTAATTGATGTATGAGTATGGGAATTATTTAAATGTCTCCTCCCTCTCTCCTCTCTCTCTGCTCCTCTGCTGAAGAAGATGGATGTGAGAGTTGTCTTGTTGTTTTGTTATTTGCTTTATAAATAAAACCTTTGATGTTACTATTCCAATCACAGTTGCTTTGCTGCATTCTGCTGTAAAAGACTGAGTTTACTATCTGCAAATGGGCATTTAATGCTCACAGGCCCAGTGTTGTTCAATACAGTGGTACCTCTGGTTACATACCCTTCAGGTTACATACGCTTCAGGTTACAGACTCTGCTAACCCAGAAATAGTACCTTGGGTTAAGAACTTTGCTTCAGGATGAGAACAGAAATCTTACTCCAGCGGCATGGCAGCAGCGGGAGGCCCCATTAGTTAAAATGGTGCTTCAGGTTAAGAACAGTTTCAGGTTAAGAACGGACCTCCAGAACAAATTAAGTACTTAACCCGAGGTACACTGTATGCCATTACTCAGGAGGATAGTTGGCTGAGAACACAGGTGGGATGAGACCCTTGTCAGGGAAGGCAAGCTGCACAGCAGAGATGCCCTGGGATGACGAGAGGACTGGGCCTCACAAAGTTGGCAGGCTTTGGAGAAAGGTCTCCTGGAGAAGAAAGAGAGCTGGTATTTGGAAGGTGGAACATCTGCAACTGTATCACTGCAAAGTAGGAAACATTTCTCCTGCTTTTAGAGAAGTCGTGCAGACAGAGACTAAGAAGCTGGTTCCCTCCTCCCTGCAGTGTGAGTCTCAGGCCCCTTGAAGCTCCTGCCTCCTCCACAACAGGGAGTGAGACTTGGACGGCAGGGGAAAGACAAGTACCCAACCAATCTTCTCACCTCTTACAACCAGCTCCGTGGCATTACTTGGCTCTGACCAGGCAAAGGGATTTCCCCGGCGGTGATATTGGCAGGTGTAGTTTCCTTCATCTTCCAACCCCACGTTGAAGAAAGGGAACTCGGCTCTGTTTCTCTCTGACTCCGTCACCTGCGATGTTATCAGTTCCCCGGATTTGTAGAGGGAGAAGTTCAGACCCTTTTCTGGCCCCTGGCACTCGATGGTGATATTCTGTCCTGGGGAAATACGTTCGTCGGGTAGCACTTTGATGGAGGGTTTGGACAGGCTGGAATCTGGGTGCAAATAAAACACTGTGAGAATGGTATGGAGGGAAGTGGCGTGATATTCTTCCACACACTCTGCTGCTTTTGATCAGATCAGCAGAAATATCTGCAAACTAGAACTATGCCCTAACTATGTGGCTCTTTTGAGGGGTGGGGGGGGTATTGTTTTTATTTTTATATATTGTGATCTTTTCTGTGAATCGCCTCTGGGTATAGGGCAGTATATAAATTCAGTAAACAAACAAGCAAGCAAGCAAACAAACAAACAAACAAACAAACAAACAAACAGGCTAAACAAACTGACTTTTAACAAATAATTTAAAAAATGCTTAGAATGGCTCTTTGCTTATGAAAAAATGGTTGTACATAGGGACTGCTATTGTTTTTTCTTTAGTTAAAAATGTCTAGAGTAGTTGTAGATAATTATTGGCCCTCCAGATGTTACGGACCTACATGCCATTGGCCACACTTGCCAGGACCCAGTAACATCTGGAAGGACAAAGATTCCTTCATAGTCTGCATCTGTCTGTCTATCATCTATCTATCTATCTATCTATCTATCTATCTATCTATCTATCTAATTTCTATCTATCTATCTATCATCTTTCTTTCTTTTCTTTTCTTTCTTTCTTTCTTTCTTTCTTTCTTTCTTTCTTTCTTTCTTTCTACCGGTATCTATCTATCTATCTATCTATCTATCATCTATCATCTATCATCTATCATCTATCTATCTATCATCTATCTATCCATCTATCTATCCAAAGTAATAATCAAAAATAAATAAGAATAAAAATGTGCACTCCACTACCGAGACCATTCCATTGTAACTATCCAACCTGCCAAAATTTCAACACCTCTTGCAATGGTTTGACCCCTTTCCGTTTTAACACTACAAATTCTACAAACACCTTCCTGCAGCTTTCTTCAGAAGATTCCAAGAGAAGAAGAAGAAGAGTTTGGATTTGATATCCCAATTTATCACTACCTGAAAGAGTCTCAAAGCGGCTAACATTCTCCTTTCCCTTCCTTCCCCACAACAAACACTCTGTGAGGTGAGTGGGGCTGAGAGACTTCAGAGAAGTGTGACTAGCCCAAGGTCACCCAGCAGCTGCATGTGGAGGAGCGGAGACGTGAACCTGGTTCCCTAGATTACGAGTCTACCTCTCTTAACCACTACACCACACTGGCTCTCAGAGCCATGCACACCACACTCCCTCCTTCAATCCCAGCCAATCTGGAATATTTTATTCTATGCAAATTCTCCACTGGATGTACAGATGTTGAAAATGCAGAACACTCCCATTTTAGACCCTTTTGTGACAATAGGAGGATGTATGTTGAACCTTACTTATTCTGTTGATGCGTCGGCTGTCACTGAAATCTGAGCACAGTTCAACGAAGGCTGTTGTGTTGCAATATCTACATTGGTAGAGACCCCCTTGGAATTCTTGGGCATTGTCAAAGGCAAACACAGCCTCCTTTGTTGCTGTTTTCTCTGTCAGTTTTCTCTGCTCCCTATCTGCACCCACTTGTATAAACAAAGAGAACAGCCTTGATAAGTTGTCTTCTGCCTTGCAGCTGATTTTGACATTCCCCTTTTCGGCAAGCGTTTCAGCTGAATTCACTGTGATGGAAGGCTTGGGATGCAGCTTTCCTGCACATGGAAGAGAACAAGGGTGAGATTTCAAAGAGGCAGTTCAGCCTTCTCAAATCAGTCCCAGGCAACAGTCTGTCATATGGGAGAGGTTTGCATGTTCTGGGAGAATGTAAAATCCCAAGGATGGAATGGAGGGTAAAGGTTCATAAGATCTTGATGCTTCTAAGTTTTTTGTTTACAACTTCAGTTTAGAGATGGGCGACCTGGCACCTTCCACACGCCTACAACACCCATCATTGGCCAGGTTAGGTGGGAGACGGGTTCCTGAGAAGAGTTACTGTTTGCTGCAGTTCAGTGTGGCAGATCCAGGAAATCTTATAAGCTGAGTTACTGTACATTTCTGCTGCCTATTTCAATGAACACTGTAGAAAGAGTTAAGAACCAAGTATTTGGGATCATTGGTCTTATCTGCATCTACACTGAATATCATGTGTGATTGCAATTTTTATTTAAGACTCTCAGTGCTTTTTCCTGGAGGTACTTAAGGGCACGCAGTACTGGCACCTTTTTGCCCCTCAAAGAAAAGCACTGGTTCAGAGATTTGGTGGAATTTATGGCATTTCTGTTGAATTTATGGCAATATCTAATACAGTGCTACCTTGGGTTACATACACTTCAGGTTGCATACGCTTCAGGTTACAGACTCCACTAACCCAGAAATAGTACCTCGGGTTAAGAACTTTGCTTCAGGATAAGAACAGAAATTGTCTCTCTCTCTCTCCCCTCCCCTTACATGTCAGTTGTGAAAATAGCATAAAAAGCCTAAGCCAGGCTCTCACCTTTTATGAAGACTTGGACAGGATCACTACGAAATGAGCACTGTTGATCATAACTTAAGCAATAGCTACATGTATAGGTTCCGCCATCTGAAGCTCTTGCATTGGCAATCTGAAATACAGCTGCACCCCACTCACTATTCCAATATGCTGAATAAAGAATTGGTGGATCTTTGTGCAGATAGTATTTTACATCTTGATGGTAATCACTTGCACATCGTAAAATGATCTTTCCCCCAAGACTGACCACATTTGTGGAAACCGCTGAGATGGAAGGTTTAGGGTAAAGTTGTCCTGGACCGAAACAGGAGAACAAAGGTGAGATTTGGAAGATGGATCACCAAAGAGGAAGGCAAATGAAGGCCCTGACTTTACCACATGCTAATTTATATGGGAAGATCCACATTTATAAATTCAGTCACACCTTGCTTCTCAAATGCCTTGCGACTCAAACGTTTTGGCTCCCAAACGCTGCAAACCCGGAAGTGAGTACTGTATTCTGGTTTGCAAAAGTTTTTTGGAAGCTGAATGTCCAGCGCAGCTTCCAATTGAGCGCAGGAAGCTCTTGCAGCCAATCAGAAGCCATGCCTCCGTTTTTGAACGTTTTCGGAAGTTGAACGGACTTCCGGAACAGATTCCATTTGAGAACTAAGGTAGGACAGTAATTACTAATTTTTAAATGAAAATGCATTATTTCCACCCTAGTGGGGAAGACTGTGGCCAGGTGAGCTGTGTGTCTGCTCATTCCACTGTTCAGCTGCTCATGGTGGGTGGGCAACTTCAAGACCCCCTCCTGCTTTCCTTTCTTATGGTTTTCAAAACTGAACTTGGACGGCTTTTGAAAGAGAGGACTGTCCTCTGTAATGGCCGCCTCATTGGCCTATCAGAATGAGTTGGTAGAAGGCACTCTGTTCTACTGCAGCTACTTGAGCTTTGTCATGCAAGTTCCCCCAGGGGGCAACCAGATGTCTGTGGGAAGCCCAAGAGCAGGACTGAGAGCAGCAGAGCATTCTCCACACTTGTGATTCTTAGCAACTGTTATTCACAGGTATCCTGCCTCTGGCCGTGCAGGGAGAAGGTTGCCATCATGTCTAGTTGCTCAGTCTAAGGTTACACTGGGGGAATTGCATTTTGTGTGTAGATTGTCTAAGGCAAAGAAATAGGGATGGGGTTCATACCAAATATGGATTGATATAAAATATAGATTATGAAATAATATGCAGCTGTAAATGTTGACAACAGGACCCATGGAGCGGGTGGGGAGAAGTCTCGAGATTCAGAGTAGCCAAAGGTAATCCGTTCCGGAAGATCGTTTGACTTCTGAAGTGTTTGACAACTGAGGTTCCACTGTACAGTATATCAATATGCATTTGGATTGTTACAATTTTATGTTTTGTATAATCAAATAATATATTTTTTTAAAAAAACCTAATTGAAAAATCAGTAAATGTACATTTTGACCAAAAAAGAGAGAGAAAGAAATAGGGATGGGATGTTCCTGTACATTTAATATTTGTATAGATCAGAGAACATTTGGTAGGCCTCTATGGTTATAATGCAGATGTTAGGAAGTCAGATTTGGTTGGGGGAAATCATTGCAGTTAGCTCTCATTCTGCCCCCATCCATCTCCCTCTGGCCCCATGTTCATATTTATCACACGAAGAGACTCACCTCCAGAGATCTGCCACTGTCCAGCCAGCAGGAATCCTGGAAAGGAGATGATTGCATTAGCGGCAATACAGCTGAGCAGCAGGAACCACAACTGGGTCTCTGGTCCTTCCACCCGGCTGTTGCACAACCCTCAGTCCCTTCACCCTTTCATCTGAGACACCAACCGATAAAGAGGATGTTGAAAGAGAGCCTCATGATGATGAAGGAGCACCTAGCCCTGTGGTCCAGTGTCCTGTGTCCCCCAAGATGTGTGCTGTCCCTGGAATGAAGATCTTGGAGGGAGGCTGCAACATGGCTCTGCAACACTGTTCTCCCCTTTGATGTGCACATACTCTGTGATGCACAGCTGAGCAGTGCTGGAAGTGCCTCGCAAGCCACTTCCCTTTTTCCCTACTATGCTGCAGTCATATTTTGCAAAATCAGCTTGCAGGAGATCATGTGCTTTCATATATACTTGCAATATTGGAAGGGACCACACGGGTCATCTAGTCCAACCCCCTGCAATGTAGGAGTTTGCTTGTTTTTCCCCCAAGGTGGGGCTCAAACCCACAACCCTGAGAATAAGAGTCTTGTGGTCTACCAACTGTGTGGTGGAGTCTTCTTCTTTGGAGGTCTTTAAGCAGAGGTTTGACAACCATATGTCAGGAGTGCTCTGATGGTGTTTCCTGCTTGGCAGGGGGTTGGACTCAATGGCCCTTGTGGTCTCTTCCAACTCTATGATTCTATTATTCTAACTGAGCTATCCCAGAGCTGCGTTCTCCTCAGAGGTTAACTATACCACCAGAAGCCTTTCTGTTACGAATTATAGGTACCAACATTCCAAAGGAACAGAAAAGACTCTTTATGTATACGACAACAGCAGCACGGATGCTACTAGCCCAGAGACGGAAAGAAGAGAAATGGCAAACTAAGCTGTTAGCTTAGGCTGAAATGACAAAACTGACCAGAAAACTCAGAGACCAAGAAGACAAGAAATTCAAGAAAGAATGGGAGAAGTTTATAATTTATTTAGGAGACCACATCTGTAAGCAGATGAAAACATTAGCAGGATTTTAATCTCACTTGTAATGTAACAACTACTACGGACGATATGGAGAGATACAAAGCATAGACTGAAATAATTTTTTGTTGTTTAGTCATTTAGTCGTGCACAACTCTTCGTGACCCCATGGACCGGAGCACACCAGGCACTCCTGTCTTCCACTGCCTCCCACAGTTTGGTCAGACTCATGCTGGTAGCTTCGAGAACACTGTCCAACCATCTCATTCTCTGTCATCCCCTTCTCCTTGTGCCCTCCATCTTTCCCAACATCAGTGTCTTCTCCAGGGAGTCTTCTCTTCTCATGAGGTGGCCAAAGTATTGGAGCCTCAGCTTCAGGATCTGTCCTTCCAGTGAGCACTCAGGGCTGATTTCCTTAAGAATGGATAGGTTTGATCTTCTTGCAGTCCACAGGACTCTCAAGAGTCTCCTCCAGCACCATAATTCAAATCATCAATTCTTCGGCGATCAGCCTTCTTTATGGTCCAGCTCACATCCCGTCTCCCTTTCCCGTGAGACTCCAATAGCATGGAATCCCAGGAATGTAAACAGAGTCCTGTGACTCCACGCAGCTGCTCAGTGAGAAACTAGCAGTGGGAGGGGGGGTGGAGTGGCTCCTCTATGTGGGAAGGTTGCAGCATTTGTGACTGTTTAAAGGGGGAGGTGACATAATAGAAGTTTATAAAATTACACATGGCATTGAGAAATTGAGTAGACACCCCTCTCACACACTAGAGCCCATGAACACCCAAGGAAGCTGAGTATTTGAAAATGCAGAGCAGATAAACTGCTTCACGCAGTGCATAGCTAAACTATGGAACTCTTTGCCACAGGAGGCAGTGATAGCCACCAACTTTGATGGCTTTAAACGAGGATTGGACACACTCATGGAGGACAAGGCTTTCAATGGCTACTAGCCCTTATGACAGAGAGGATGTGGGTGGCGCTGTGGTCTAAACCACAGAGCCTAGGGCTTGCCGATCAGAAGGTCGGCGGTTCAAATCCCCATGACGGGGTGAGCTCCCATTGTTCAGTCCCTGCAGTTCGAAAGCACGTCAAAGTGCAAGTAGATAAATAGGTACCGCTCCGGCGGGAAGGTAAATGGTGTTTCCGTGTGCTGCTCTAGTTTCACCAGAAGCAGCTTAGTCATGCTGGCCACATGACCCAGAAGCTGTACGCCGGCTCCCTCGGCCAATAAAGCGAGATGAGCCCCGCAACCCCAGAGTCGGCCACAACTGGACCTAATGGTCAGGGGTCCCTTAGCCCAGTGTTTCCCAACCGGTGTTCCGCGGCACACTAGTGTGCCGCGAGACGTTGCCTGGTGTGCCGTGGGAGGGAGGCAGGCGAGTCGGGCGGCGAGAGGCGAGAGGATCGGGCGCGGCGGAGGCCAGCCCCACGCTTGGAGAGGACGCAGCAGCCGTCGCCAAACCCGATCCTCCTCCTCCTGCTCCGCCGCCGGCCGATCCTCTCGGCTCTCGGCCGGGAGGAGCCTGCGGCGACGGGGCGGGCGCTGAAGTTGGCGCACCTCCTCGGCAGCGCCTTCGTCCTCCTCCTCCTGCCTCTGCTCTCCTCCGGCGGCGGGGGCGCGCCGCCGCCGGATCCGCGCGCAGCCTCTCGCCTCTGCCCCTCGCCGCGCCGGCCCAGCCAGTCAGCCAGCCGAGGGCGGGCGCGCTCTCGCTCCTCGCTCGCTCTATCCGTGGCCGCGCCCGGCGCCAGCCCCGCGGGATGACGCTGCGACGGGCGGCCCTGTGTCGCGAGGGGCGGAGCCCAGGGGAAAGGACCGCCCAGCAGGCGCGGCTGAGGCGCGCATGCGTGGCTGGGGGGTGCGCGCCCTCTGCTCTCTGCCTCTCTCCCCCTCCCCCCTCTGGACCCCGCGCGCGAGGCTCTCCGGGGGCGGGAAAAGGGTTTCCTTCAGGCGGAAGGTCCCGTGGGAGCCGGGAGGGGGGCAGCCGCTGCTCTGGCTCCCCCCCGCCCCGAACCGGGTCTTCCTTTCGGTTCTGGCGGGGAGCGCGCTCTCCCCCCCTTGCGCTCCGCTTTCCCCTCAGAAGAGCCCCCTGCTCCCCGTAATCGAGGGTGATCGTGCCCAGGGGCTCGCCAGATCCCCCTCCGGCCGTCTCTTAGTCCCCACACGATCCCAGGAGCGCGACGTGGAAGTGTGTGGACACCTGCAAAGGTCAGGGATGCTTCTCAAACCGCCAAGAGGCAAAGCCAACGTCCCTCTCACCTGGCCCAGGAGTCCCAGATGCGCCAGTTCTCAACAACAAATGCATAGAACAGGGTGTGCAACCCAAGTGAATCACTATTTTAAGCCATTCCGGGGGGGGGGGGAGATGCAACCCATTCTTAAATCTTTCCTACTGAAAATGACCTAAAAGTGTTACATTTGGACGGATCGCCCCCATAACTAATGTTGCATCATCTCACTATTTGCAGCAAGCATATACATTCTTTTCCACGGTTAACTTTTGTATACCTCAGAGCACCAAAGTTTATTTCCTAATTGCTTACTGATCTGCTGGTGAAGCAAGTTTTCTCTTGACTCCCCTTTGAACCATCAACATATCCTTTCATTACCTTCTATGCTGTTACTATTTTTTATATTTTTTTTACATAAGTAAAAAGTGACCTTTCCCCATCTGGCATGGTGGTGTGCCTCGAGATTTTTTTCATGAAACAAGTGTGCCTTTGCCCAAAAAAGGTTGGGGAACACTGCCTTAGCCCTTATGGCTATGCTGTACCTCTACTGTCAGAGACATTATTCAAGTATCTCATTACAGAAGTGGACAGGGGGGTATGCCTCTAAATACCAGTTGTTGCCAATAGCAAATGGGAAAGTGCTGCTCCTCTCATTTCTGGCTTAAGGGCTTCCCACTGGCATCTAGTTGGCCATCTAGATGGGCTTGGCCTGATCCAGCAGGCTTGTGTTATGTGGTTCTGTGGCAGGGGCAAGACGAAGAGAGTGGGAGAGCCAGGATTCTCAAGAATGCCTCAGAAAATTAACCCAGAGTATGAGTGGCTGCCACAGTGGGGAAGGAGCCTGGAGCTAACCTCTGGAGTTTGCACATTCTCATTTGACTAATCCAGGGCCTGTAGTTACAGGAAGACAAATGACTGCATGTGTCGCCTTTCGTCTGCCACAGGCCCCCTTACCTAATCTTACAGAAAGAGGATCTCTTCATAGGACTGGCGTTTGCATTTCCCCTGCCACTCCTCTTCCTGAGGCAACTTCCTTAATATTTGACTTTCCCCAACATGACACAGCATTGGAGATGTGACTTTTTTCCTTTTTCAAAAATTGTATTTTATTGATTTTCAGTTACAAATGAATTGGATCTGAAAAAGGAGAAAAGAAATATCAATAATAACAACAACCACAACAGGTTGGGAGTACAGAACCATCACAAAAATGGGAAAAATATAACAGGAGCAATGCCAGCTGTGGTTCACTGGATATATATTACAGTAGTGGGATGAAAGTGATATTCCTTAATGTTCGGTGTGTTGCTGGTGGCTGGAAGCCATGCTTGACGGTTTGTGCATATTCAATACAAGTTTGTAAGGCTGTTAGTTTGTCCTTAAGTATAGAATCCCATATCTCTGACATCTAAGCTTCAAAGAGATTTACAATGAGAGTCCTCCAGTACATGACCATTCTTAATCTGGCAGCAGCTAACACATGGGCAATAACATTTTACACTTTCCTTGGGCATCTAAAGGAAAATAAGATAACAGTGCTATTGTGGGGTCTGATTCCATAATTTGGTTTATGGTCTGGAGAACCTTTTCCCAAAAGGGAACAATCTTTGGACAGCACCGCCACATGGTGTACAGTAATTCCAGGAAGTTTGCAATCTCGCCAGCATAATGGAATGAGATTTTGGCTGATTTTATACCGTGGGATATGTGCCTTGAGGACCAGGATCATTCTTGGCTGCTCACATTTTGATCTTTCAAGATGTGGCTCCTCCTCCCCCCTCCCCCAAAAAACTAGAGTGGCCAACTGTAAGAAAAGGAAGTTGTGGCTACCATAATGGTAAACACACATCAAAAAAATGCTGCAGCTGCTGAAGTTTCCTCTTCTACACAACCACTCTCATAACCAGAACCCTCGTCTTCTCCTTTGCCAGCGGCTCCACAGCCTGACTATTGCTTCTAGACAAAATGGCATTGAAAACATCTGTGGCTAAAGCCTCACAGTCTACAGATTTATCTGAAGTCAACAGTTGCCTGTGTGTGTGTGTGTGTGTGTGTGTGTGTGTGTGTAAAGACCACTTTGCTGTCATTTCCCCAAGGGGCTAAAGTTAAATGAACCTAAGCAGAACAGCCTGAGGGATTCCACCAAACAAACATCTTTCTTGATAACTGTGAAAATCGGCCAATATGAAACCTAGAAATTTGTATATACAGTCATACACTGGATCCCGAACACCTTTGTACTCGGACATTTGGGCTCCTGAACACCTCAAACCCAGAAGTGAGTGTTCCGGTTTGCAAATGTTCCTTGGAACCCGAATGTGTGACGGGGCTTCTGCAGCTTCCAATTGGCTGCAGGAGTTTCCTGCAGCCAATCAGAAGCTGTGCTTTGGTTTCCAAACGTTTTGGAAATCGAACAGAGTTCTGGAATGGATTTCATTTGAGTTCCAAGGTATGACTGTAGTCTACAGTTCTATTTTTTGCGTAAGGTAGTTTTGAGGTGTACTTGAAATGTGACAAATCTCTACTATCATTTCTCCCGGCAACCGATCCAAGTCTTTGTGGCTGCAGAGAAACATTCCATCTTCCAGCATGAGGGAGGATTCTCACCAATATGTAGTTTGGTGGGAGAGTGTGGAAGGAAAGTTATTGGTTGCCATTTGGCTAAGAAAGTCCATGATAATGGTGGACATAGGACCCCCCTACATAAGAGCCAGGGAGCTGGGAGATGGGGGTGAGATCCTTGGATGGTATAGATTGAATCCAGTAACCAAACCGTTGGATACAGGAACAGGATCTGGAACAGGGTGGTGATTTCTATGGTGTTCTTCCATTTTTGTGTTGATATCATTTTCTCAGCCGTTCAGTTTCAGTTATTTAATTATGTTGGCTTATTAATATTGTTTCATATAATGTTTAATTTAGACCCTTAAATTAGGGTTGCTTTTTTTGCATGGTTTTACACTATGGTTTTATGGACTGATTTTTACCTTCTTATTTCTATTTTCTAATATGTTTTGAATGGTTATACTTATTGTTTGCTTGACATTCTGTGAGCCACTTTTGGGCACAAGCTTGAGGGCAGGTGGCAAACAACTGAACAGATGTTGGTGAGGGACCAAGTCTTGCTGTTGCTACTCCCCTGTCTTCCCATCAGGCCTCTGAAGGCTTTTTGGTGCCTGAGGCATGTGAGATGCTTAAGACTCCCTAGAAACTGCTGGCAGAGCCAGGCTACTGTACATAAGTCAAATGAAAAGGACCTTTCCTGCAGGTTTGCTCTCTGAAAAGATGGGGTGCAGGAAGGAAGAATGGGAAGGAAATGGCATGCTAGGTTGGAGAGTAAAATATTCAAAGAAAGTATTCATCAGAGCTCAAAGCCAAATGAGGTAGGATGGTATTTCCCAAGGCTGACTGTTTCCTTTTTTTCCTTCCCCTTTGAGCACTGACAGTAATTAACCTAAGAATAGCACTAGAATTAAGGAAACCAAAAAGAACAGAAAGGGCAGAAATGAAACAGATCGAGAGAGAGAGAGAGAGAGAGAGAGAGAGAGAGAGAGAGAGAGAGAAAGCTATTTTTTGAACTGGGACAGAGGAAGAGAGAGTTGCCCATACTCAAATACTGGGGATGTCCTCAGAGCAGGATGCTGAGGCTAAACATTGTGGCCCGAGACCAGAGCTTTGTTGTGGTCGCTGCTGCTGCTGCTGCACTTTCCCTTTCAAACAAATAGAAAAGGAGCTGCCTCTTCTATTGCTGCTGCCAAAATACTTATGCTCCTCCTGCTGACTGGGTGCTGGTTTTGACCGTTAAAGCCCTATGCAGCCTAGGACCCACGTACCTAAGGGACCGCCTCTCCTGGTATGCCCCGCGGAAGACCTTAAGGTCCACAAATGACAACACTTTGGAGGTCCCAAGTCGCAAGGTGATTAGATTGGTCTCACCTAGGGCTAGGGCCTTTTCAGTACTGGCCCCAACTTGGTGGAACACTCTGTCACAGGAGACTAGGGCCCTGCGGGACTTGACATCTTTCCACAGGGCCTGCAAGACAGAGCTGTTCCTCCTGGCCTTTGGTTTGGACTCAGTTTGACCCTTATGTTTCCCTCCGCATATGGTTTTGATCTATCGGCTACTATTAAAATGAGGCTGCCTTTTAAATTGTATTTTTAACCTGTATTTTAAATTGGTTCCCCACCCCCATTATGTTTTTATTGTAACTTTACTGGTGTTAGCCGCCCTGAGCCCGGCTCTGGCTGGGGAGGGTGCGGTATAAATAAAAATTTATTGTTGTTGTTGTTCAGTGCTCGCCCCACAGCGAAGGGTAGAATTGAAACTGAAGAAGTTGAGTCCCTGAGCACCCAATAGATTAAGTCAAACTGTGACTTGTTAACATACCAGGCCAAGATGAGCTAAAGAAACTCAAAACAACAAAATCTGAAGTGTTCTGGAGCCCTATTAGTGAGGTGAGCCTACAAGTGAAAAACCACTTTTCTGAAGGCAGATTAGAAGTCTAGCAGTTCATGTTTCTGGAGGCTGAGCGAGAGGAAGATATGTTTCA